AGTGGGGCCTAAACACCTGTCTACCACTAGTTTTATGTGACCAATGCCTCCAGGAATTATAGGGCTGATCTGAGATCAGTTAGTAAGTGGCCTATGATTAACTATTCAGTCCTGAGGTGTTCAGCAAAAACCATAGTGTAAACCAGAGACAGAGTGAGGGATTACCAACAAGAGAACTATATATGAATAAAAAACATCTTTTTACACTTGACCCAAGTTTGTGTCATAACCAGTATTTGTACATCAAGACATTGTATATGTCTCAACTCTTTGCATGTTACCAAGACCTCTGGGCTTAATAGAAAGAGTATGAAATTTAGAATCAGAGAGTCCTAGATTTCAAGTTCTGATTCCAGTTATGTGACTTTAGATAAGCTACTTAATTTCTCTGAGTTATAGTTTATTCTGTAAAGGATAATAAAAAACCCTCTCTAAAAGAGGATAATACAATAAATAAAATATATGTTGATTTCTATTTGTGTGTCGAAGGCATGCTTTGATTGTTGTGAGGATTAAAGTAGTCTTGTGTGCTGAGTACTTAAAACATTACCTTGCACATATATAGCACTCAGTAAACATTAGCCATCATTATTATTAACCCTTACAATAATTCTGGAAGGTAAGTCTTGTTATATCCAGTGCATAAATGTAGAAACTGAGATGCAGACAAGGTATAACTTGTGTAAGACCACACAGTAAATAGTAGAAGGATTCAAGTCCAGGCCTGTATTTATCCCCAAATCCATATGCTTATATTGCCTTGATGGAGAAGTGGGAAAAGAGCAGAACAGTTAAAAGGAAAAAATACTTTTTAAACAAGTACTTTTTCCCTTTCCTCATATTAAAATTTCCCTTTTTGCCTAGGTTTTTAATTCGCTAAATGTCTCATATAACATAACTCAAAATTGCTATGTGAAATGCATTTTATGTTTCTAAAATAACAATGTGCCTTTAGAGTTGTAAAGAGATATCTAAACAATTTCATATACAGGTATTTCAAGTTTTCTTAAAACTTCTTATTAAAAAATAAATTCTCATCCCCAAAACTTGAGAATTTCCCATTTTAAATATTTATTCTAGAGGCTATAGTTTTGTTCCTGACATTTCATAGAAGAATCTGTGCCAATGACCGGCACTACTAGATTTTTTTCATGATACTTTTATTTTTATCTATTATTCCACTGCTGCCAATTTAGGAGACCACCAAAACTGAATCAGATGCTTTTAGGACCGGAGTTTAATATACTTACAATGACTTCCAGAATAATTTGTTTTATTACTCAACTTCCCCCTTCTACATCACTGAAGAATCAGTTGAGTAGGTAAATTCATGTATTCCTTCCTAGTTGAGTATTTTGTGCATCAATAAAACCATAGATGCTAGAGCCAATTTCAGCAACTACCTCCTAAAGGAATGAATTCTTCTTAATAGAGATGACATTTCCATGCCCTGAATCCTGGGGAGACAAATCTAGCAAACAAGAAAAGATTTATGTAGCTCTTTCCTATGAGAAGAATAATTGTACAGTGGGTACATGTGTGCAGAATTTTAATAAACATTGAACCAGGCAAAATAGAGTTTCCTTAAAGCCATAGGTGTGTAAAATATTATCCAAGTTTTTTGAGCAGCAATAATGTGCAAGCAGTCTGCTTTGAATAAATAAAAATGAGTTATTTTTCTAATTGTGTAAATTTGTATGTTTTTAACTTCTTTAAAATATAAGCAGTGTAGCATAATGAACCTCTCATTAGTTGGCTAAATTGTCCATTGTTTATAAGAAAATACTGAGCAAAAGTCCTTCCAGCTTGTTATAATTAGCCTGAAACCTGATTATAAACTCTTAGTCATCTGTAAGCCTTAAAAGGATTCTGCAACATAACATTCTTATTTTTCTATTACTTAATTAAACAAAAACAAAACAAAACAAAAACTTAAGCCCAGCTAATTCCAAGTTATTGTTAAGAGATGCTAAAGAATGCCTCTTTACTTCATAAAATCACAAACTCCTACAATAGAAGGGACCTTAACAACCATGGGTAGCAATCACCTCATTTTACAGATCAGAAAATTGACACACAAAGATATTGATTAATTTGTCTAATATCACACAGGTAGGCAGAGCCAGGAATGAAATCCAGGTTTTCTGACCATTCGTTCAGTTCTCTTCCCACTATTTTGACTTTTTCATAATTTTATCCATTAGAATTTGGGCATTTAATTTTTTTATTGTAAAATGCACATAGCATAAAGTCATTAAATTTCAAAAAATCCTTTTGAATAGGTGAATAGTACATGAACATGAAACAGAAATCAAAAGGTACACAAAGGTTTACAGTATACAGTGATGAGTCTAGCTCCCACTCCTAACTCCTGTCCATCCAAGTTCCCCTCCTTGTAGGCAGCCACTGTAAAGAATGAGGCATTTAAAATAAACTGTTTTGGGCCGGCCCGGTGGCGCACTGGATAGTGCGCCGCTTGGGAAGCGCGGCAGCGCTCCTGCCCGAGGGTTCGGATCCCACATACAGACCGGCTCCCGCTCACTGGCTGAGCGAGGTGCGGGAGCAACACCGAGGTTTGCAATCCCGTTGCCGGTCCCTGGTCCGGTACGGGGGCAACACTGAGGGTTGTGATCCGTTGCCGGACACGGAAAAAAAGACAAAAAAAAAAAAAAATTAAAATAAAATAAACTGTTTTGGTCTAATAACATGCATAAACTGACATTGTATTGCATTATTCTTTACAAGTTGCAGTATGACCTGCCAAGTTTAGGAAAAGTCCAACAGGAAAAACATAAGACAAAGAATTGGAATATGGAGAGATTTATGAATTAGATTTGAAAATTACCCAAAGTCCAAGTTACTTCCAGTAATAGAAGTGAAGCCTCTCTTATAGCAGTAGTTTTATTACTCAGATTGCTTTTTGTATAAATAGCCTAAAGTATATTATAAGAGTTCTCATGTATCCTCATGACAGGTAAAATCCCTGTCTGAGTATTACATAACTGCATACAACTGCTTTAAAATCAGTAGCACACTGGCCAAAAGAAAGAACCATGTTGATGTTTGAATAAATATCCTCAGGCTCTGAAACTGTCAGTGTAGAACAGAGCATGGCTCTGCTTCTCTCAGGCCTCTGAGCCTCCATGTCCTACCGTGATGAAACCTTAGTGCCCTGTCCTTGGACTGGCACTGGGATGAGGAGGTAAAGGGGCTCTAGGAGGACATGTGCACCTTTGGCTACACTGCCACTGTTGAGGTTGTGCAGCATGAAAAGCAGTGGGCAGCAGTGGCCCATTAGTGCTGCCTGGCCATGGTAGCCTTAAAAATACAGGTACTGGGTTGACAGCAGCCTGTGACTGCCTATGTGGGGAGAGGTTAGGCTCAGAAGAGCTGCAGGCCAGTGCCTAGCAGGCCACAATTGGGGTTTCATCCCTGTTTAAAAGGCACATCTTCAGTGAAAGGCTTAAGGAAGGCACACATTCCTCTTTTTTGATACCTCTGTGTGACCCAGTATGTGATGACAGGTTTCACCTGGCGGGGGAAAGAATGTAGGAAGTTTGTAGGGAGTTTAGAGAACTAGAGATGAGAGTGGATTCAGGGAAGGGATGGGGAGAGGAAAAATGAGGTGGGAGGAAGTTGTCTTTTTTTGACAGAGAAGTTCTTTGACTTGTGTACTGTTAGACCCTTGGATTGTGGTTTCGTGTTCTACCTTATGGCAGTGTCTTTCAAACTTTTCCAATCCTAAGACTCTCCTGGAGTACTTGCTAAAAACTGAGATTCTTTGGTCTCTGTTCTAAAGATGCAGACTCAGCGAGTCTGAGGTAGAGTCCTTGAATACTGGGGTAGTTTTAGTAAGTGCTCCAGGTGCTTTTGGGGAACACTACTGGATCTGGGCTGGTACTTATACTTTCATCTGTTCTAGACGTTCTGCTCCAGATTTGTCCTCCGTTGTAAATACAGACATCAAGAGTACTGGGAGGCTTAACTGCTCATGGCTCACTTATATCAAAGTTAGAGCTTTATTTCAAAAAATATGCATATTCCTTTTCACCTGATAATAATGTCTTGGGTTGATTTTTTACAATATTTTTGATTATTTAAAATAATGGAATATTTACATAGAAGTAGAGAGTAGAATGGCAGTTACCAGAGGCTGGAAGGGATTAGGGGAAAGGGGACAGTGAACGATTGGTTAAGAGATACAAAAGTACAGCTAGATAGGAGTTCTATAGCACTGTAGGGTAACTATCATTAACAACAATTTATTGTATAGTTTCAATTAGCTATAAGAAAGGGTTTTGAGTGTTTCCAACACAAAGAAATGGTAAATGTTTGAGGTAGTGGGAAAAAAAAATCAGTGTTTGCCAAGATTTCAGGGGATGAAGGAGGGAGGAAGGGATGACTAGGTGGAGTAGAGAAGATTTTTAGGGCAAAAAAACTATTCTGTATGACACCGTAATGGTGAATACCTGACATTATGCATTTGGCAAAACCTATAGAACTGTACAATACAAAGAGGGAACCCTGATATAAAATTGAGTTAATAATAGTATATCAATGTTGATCCATAACTGTAACAAACGTACCACACTCACGTAACATGTTAATAATAGGAGAAACTGGGGGGTGGGGAGGGTATGGGAACTCTCTGTACTTTCTGCTCCATTTCTCTGTAAACCTAAAATTGCTACCAAAATAAAGAAAAAATGGAATATTAGATCATAGTGTTTAAAACATCAGTTATGTTAATCTTTGCAAACAGAACCACTGAGTGGCCTTTTGTTGTAGTGTCCTTGCCGTTACTTTTGACCTGGACTAATATTGTGTGATGATTAAAAAATGTATTGAGAATTAAGGGCATATGGTAATTGACAATAGGTTTTTTTTTTTAATAGTTAGAACTCTGATAATGAGGAAGTAGCCTTTATTTCATCATCACAGTCATTTTAAAAGTTCAAAGTGTAAATGAAAATTTTCAGTGCTTTGTTTTTTCTCTTCAGATAGGAACCAAGGCTTTAGTCTGCTCAACTCATTGGCTGGAACAACCCATAGCATTGGGTCATCAGAGACCTGTCACTCAGAGGTAGAGAATTTTCTTGGATCTTTTTTCCTCTTTGGCTTTAACTTCTCCGTGTCATTATGAATCTTTACATATTAGTCATTTTTTTCCTTTCTCTTTAAAAGGTGGCTAAGAATATTAAAAATAGATGAAGGAAGAATCTAAAACAGGCCTATTATGCCTGGCCCCTCTTGAGAGAGGACTAGTCCATCCCTTTTAAAGCAGTAAGCCCTTTCAAGATGTTGGCAGTTGGGGTTGTTTTTGTTTTTTTTCTTTGCTGGAGTGCTTTTTAAAATATGCTAGGATTTCCTTAAGGCATAAACTTGCCTCCAGGTCTGTAGATAGAAAATAAAATTGATTTTTTTTTTTTTTTAGTACTTTCTGTGTACAAAGTCCCTGTACAAATCCAAGGCAAGGTCTCTGCCCTCAAGGAATTTATAGTCTGATTTCAACCCTCTGTTCTCAAGGACTTTGGTCCAAGTTTACCTTGGTCCACCTGCTGGAACCAAGAGCAAATCATACTGTGTCACATTGTCTTTCCAGGGATCATGTTCATCAGCCTCTGAGCTATGTGTGTTATGATTGTGTACATTTTCATATTTTGAATATAACGTGGATATTAAATGAAACAAACATAAAACATATTTTAATAGCCTACAGAAAAATTATAACACTTTATAGTTTTTTTCCTTGAGGGAACATACTCCTGAGTTAATGAATTTTTAGCCTTTTATTTTTCAATGTGATCTTACTGCTTCTTCCTTCTTTCCTTGCCTCTAGCTCCTATTACTGCTTCTCTAAAGCCAACCAGAGAGTGAAAGTATGAGCCTTTTTGAATTTAGTTTTAAAATAGCCTACTATTAAATTGTTGCTTATGTGTATTTTCCTCAACAGCAGCCCCATTTGCCAGCAGCAGATAGGACTGAATCTGTCTCAGATCATCGGGGTGGTGCATCTAACACAACAGATGCCCAGGTTGATAGCATTGTGGGTAAGTTCCTCCTTTGGCTACCAAGAGAGAGCACTATGGAACTTGGAATAGGTATCTGGGCAGAAATTATTGAAGGGAAGTTGACTTTAAACATGGAGAAAGGAAGAATATTGGTAGCGTACCTCAAGTGCATGAGAGCCTTGCTGATGGCTCTCAGAAAAAGGGGGAAGAATAAACACATAACAAATACATGGCCACCATTTTCTCTTTGATGGTCTTAGCAGGATCTTGATTCAGATCATCTTAGCTAAAACAGACAGAACCAGGTGGCAAAACAGCTTTATAGCTCTGTATTCCACATTTTTAAAAATAGTATTTAACAGTAGTCAGATTTGATGATGACAAGAATAATACAATTTTACGCTTATGAGTCTTTTCACATCCTTTTAAAATTCTTTTATATCTACTTTCTCATTTGGTAATGAAGTTTGGCAGAGAAGTTATTTCATGGAGATGAAGCCGAAGCCCAGAGAAGTTTAGTAACTTGTCCAAAGACATCTAGTGAGAAGAGCCTGGAACTGAAACAGGAATCCAATCTGCTGTTCAAAAGCCAGAAAGCCAAGGAGCTTAGTTGACAATAACTATAAATGTTCTTTTGTTGAGGAACTACTTATATCCCTACTTTCAGTCTTTATGCCATAGAGGGCTCATGTGCAGGTAATAATTCTTTTTTTTTTTTTTTTCCTTTTTGTCTTTTTTTCGTGACCGGCAACGGATCTCAACCCTCAGTGTCGCGCCCGGACCGGACCGGGACTGGCAACGGGATCGCAAGCCTCGGTGTTGCGCCCGCACCTCGCTCAGCCAGTGAGCGGCCGGTCTGTATGTGGGATCCGAACCCTCGGCGGGAGCGCTGCCATGCTCCCAAGCGGCGCACTGTAGCAGTGCACCACCGGGCCGGCCCAATAATTCTTATAAAACTATTTTTTTCTGATTATAAGATAACCCATGTAGAAAACTCAAGTGATTGGCTATAGAAACATATTAAGAAGAAAAAATTATGTATTGAATCCTTCCTATTGGCTTTTAAACCAGCTAAAGCCTCTGCCATTTAAATAAATCATTAATCACACTGAAGGGGGTGAGAAAGACAAGAACTAACCTAAGTAACTTTTTTTTTTTTTTGTCCTTTTTGAGACCAGCCGCACCGCGCTCAGCCAGTGAGCGCTGTGAGCGCACCGGTCATCCTTATATAGGATCCGAACCCGCGGCAGGGGCGCTACTGCGCTCCCAGTGCCGCACTCTCCCGAGTGCACCATGGGCTTGGCCCAGTAACTTTGGAAAATAGTAATTGGACTGGTTGCGGTAAGGCTAAAAACAAAAAGAACTGAACACAAATACTGACTCTACTTAATAAATTTGTTTTTCATGGGGGTTTGGGTTAGCAATTTTGAAGTTATATATATGTATATTAGGGTTGAAAAGCTAAGAAAATTTATTATCGATAATGAGAGCTAGGTTTCTCCCTGTCAGAGAAAGAAGTTACAAATAAGGAAAGGAGAAGTCTGGCATGAACCCTTTGGTATTGGATTGGAATCTAACATATCAGTATGAGCTCATGGTTTTTAAATATATACTTACATTTAGAACAATAGGGAAATAAATATAGGTGTGTGCATGCATGTGTTGGTGTACATACATCATCCTCCGAGAGGGCCTAGAAGGAACAATACTCCAGTAGCAAGCAACACCCTTAACACTGAGATCTTGGTTTCTAGATACATTCTCCAATAAAAGGAACCAGGGTTCCTAAGAGAAGTTGTTGATTACAGGGCTAGGGCAGGAAAAAATGCAGGATAAGCCTGAAGCATCTTGTGGTGTCAGAAAGTAAGGAAGTAATCAAAAAAGAATGGGAACATGTTGAAACATGTTTTAGGAACCAACCTGAAAGAGCATCTGATGGCTAAAGCTGGAACAATTTGACTAGCAAAATAAATTAATATAGTATTGGGTTATAACCCATAGAATAAACTAAATATCTATGAGTCCATTCTAATGCAAATAAATAAATAAATAAATAAATGGGAAAGAAAGGACAGATTCTTCTTACAGAAGAATTCTGATTAATAAGCGTAGAAGGAATTAGGAAAAGAGAAAACCACCATTAAGCACAAAAACAATAATAGTTGTTGCAAGCAACATCTACTTATGGATGTTAAAATTAGTGAATGAAAGTTTGAGGAGAAGTAGGATATTTGCGTAGTCTAAAAGTATTTCCCCCAAGATACTTATTTATTACAAAGGGGAAAATAGTAACTTCACACTGGAGAAACCTGGCAGATACCAGCCATTTTAACTAAGTGATGAGGGTTCACATCACCAATAATCAGACACACTGACATCATATCCCCCCAATAGGATGCAGTGAGAAGGGCACATCACTTCTGTGGTGTTCTTGCCAAAAATGCATCACCTCAGTCTAATTATAAGAACATATCACACAAATCCAAAGTGAGGGACGTTATACAAAATAACTGATTGTACTCTTCAAAAGTGCCAAAGTCATGAAAGACAAGGAAAGTCTAAGGAACTGTCACAAATTGGAGAAGACTAAGAAGATTTGACAGCTAAATTCTGTGTAGGATCCTGGAACAGAAAAGGATATTAGTGGAAAAACTGACTGAAGTGTGAGTAAAGTCTGTGGTGTGGTTAATAGCATTGTACCAATATTAACTTCCTGATTTTTATAATTGTAGCATGGTTATATAAGATGTTCACACTAGGGGAAGGTGGGTGAAAGCCATATGGGAGCTCTCTATACTATGCTTTCAAATTTTTTGTAAGACTAAAATGATTTCAAAATTTTTTTTAAAAAGGCAAAACCAAATCAACAAAAACTGAATACTTACTCAACCCCGTATCTCTTTACTAGCCTTATTTCCATTGCTTATCTCCCAGTCACCTTTCAACTCACTTCCATCTAGCTTTTGCCCCCATTATGCCACTAAAACAACTCTGTGCAAATGACCTTTATGCCAGTATATTTAAGATATTTTCCAGTCTTCATCTTGACCTCTATGTGGCATTCAGTATTATGGATCAATCCCCCTTTGAAACATTATCTGCTTCTGACTCACTCAACACAACATCTCCTAGTTTTCTTTCTACTTCTCAGGTTATTCCTCCTCTTTCTTTGATAGATTACCCTCCCTTGCCCAGCCTTTAAATACTGTCAGTCTTCAACGGTCCACTTAAACTCCTCTTCCAAATCTGTTATTATGCATGAAGTGATTCTATCCACATCCATACCTCAATTACCATGTATACACAGATAAATCACAAATTTTTATCTTCAGCACTGTATACCAACTGCCTACATGACATGTCCATTGAACTAAAGTAAATTTATTAACCCAAATGCATTTTTAACCCCAAGTTATATAGCATTGTGGCAGATGCAAAGAATTATAAGTCATTGTCCTTGTTCTTCAAGGAGCTAACAGTCTAAAAATGTAGAGACAGGACTTGAACAGTTAAGGTCATAAGATTTGTTTGGAGTCCTGTACACTGGGGTTCAAACCATGGCTCTACCACTAGTATTGATATGACCTTGAGTAAATTGTTTAACCTCTGTTGGTCTTAGTTTCCTTTTCCGTAAAATAGGGTGACAAATCTTCCCTCACAGGGCTGTTGCAAAATGAAATGGACTCATGTAAGTTAAAGCACTTAGCAGTGCAGGCACAAAGTAAACTCTCTCTCTCATTGTAGTAGTATTTATTATAGTGGTGGTGGAGAAATGTTAGAATATGAAGTAGCATATGCAAGTGCCAAGACAGTTCTATAAACAGTAAGCTTAGAATTCTAAGGGGGAAGATCTGTGAACTGGGATGGGCAGGGAAGAAGCTCTAAAGGTGGTTGCCCTGGAGTGGAGAATGAGTATAGATTATGATTAAAAACAAACTTTGATAAAGAACCACTGTGCTGAGGTAGAAATAGTAAAGGATTTGTAGTAAGAAAATATGACTTTAAATAGGCTCTATCTCTGAGTATCCCTAATGTCAGATGAATTCATTTTTAACTACAGGTTTTTTATCTGTAAATTGGAGATAATGACATCTGTCCTAATCACTTTATATGGTTGTTGTTAGTAGTAGATGTGAAAATATTTGTTGTACAATAAAATACAGTGTAGATTTTAGTCATGTATTGTTATTGTTGAATCAGTGTACCTTAGCAGAGTGAGTGTGGCCTTCAGAGTTGAAACACCTAAGTCTGAATCCACTTATTAGCTGTGACTTAGAATAAGTCACTTCAACTCTGAGCTTTAGTTTCTTATCTCTAAAATGAAAATAGTATTCCATACCTCGTTATGGAGTTGTAAGGATAGAAGAAGTTACTATTCACTTGTGAGGCTCCATGAGCTGTAAAGCTGGTACACTGGGCACTCGATCATTGGTGACTTTCATCAAAGCAGCATTGATTTCCTTAGGATTTTGTGTATTTAGCACATATATAAATAATGTGTGACAAATAATATGACACATTCTTACTTCAGATCCTATTTTAGATCTGGATATTCAAGAATTAGCCAGTCTCACTACTGGAGGAGGAGATCTGGAGAATTTTGAAAGACTATTTTCAAAGTTAAAAGAAATGAAAGGTAATTAGATCCATTGTGTCTAACATATTCCCACACTGATGCTCATCTATTTTATGAAGTAGGATTTTATTTTGTAACTGCTGGATTGGGTTCCATGCTCTGGTCTCAGCTGTCTTGAGAAACTTAGCTACTGGGAGGGCTATGTTTCCCTGGGGAAAATGTTCCCTTCTTCATTCTCTTTCCTCTTATTTTTCCTTTTTCTCTTGCTTCTCTGTTTCTTTCAATATGTCTCATTAACATGGAATCTGTAAGATCCCTACCAATTTACTCACATCATTCTCATCTGAAAAATCTGGAAGGCTTCAATTCTCTAAAAACTGTAATGACTACACCATAAACAGATGTCTTTGAAACCCATCTCCCATCTTCTAGTGTTAAAACATCCATACACTCCAGCTTCTCCTGGGTTATTAGAAAATTTTTTTAAGTTTTTTTTCCCCCCAAGAAAGGGCTGCGCCGCTCCCCCACGAGAAAAGGAAGTTGCAGGCAGA